ACTCTGAACTTTGAGAATGTACAAATATGTATATCAAAAAAGGTGTAACATACAAAAATTCGTACATTTTTTTTGGTATGAAATCTTGACATGGTCTAGTGAGACTATAAAAACTCACCACCTATTCGGCCTCGGCAGGCATCTCTTTACCCAAAAAAAGTTAAGATGTTAGCTAATGAAATGAGAAATGCCTCTCGCATTTGTGTACCTATGTCTGAGTACATCAGCGACAGGTGCCAATGTTTAACGGTTATGAATATGTTCGGGAGGCACCCACGCGGCGGTATAGACGACGCGACAAATCGTCAAGGTTGACTTCAATGATACGTCGCGTCGCGGCGGATTTTTCATGAAATAGTTTCACCGCTCTGACGGCAACGTCTGAGGCGGCCGGGTCGATGCCCCCGCCGCCCGCCACGCGATTTGGCTTCACTCAGCGCAACTACTAACTGAACTCGCCAATACACACGTACCTACCACTAGAATACTCCTAAACTTCCGATAGATATAAACAAGTAATAAACAAAATATATACTTAATAACACAAAAACATAACTTTGAAAATTACCACAACTGTTTGCTAAATTGTTTCGCCAAAATTAACTCGCGTTGGTAGAAACAAGATCACCATGCCAACGAGGTAAGTAGGCGTGTGACAGCTTATGCCAACATTCGATGCAAGACGAGACATGACAATTCCCAGCGGGATTTATCTTCGACAAAAACGGACAGAGTAATTATACTGAAAACTAAAAATGGAACAGCGGTAGTGAACAACCCAGTAGATAAAAAGATAATATAAAACCAATCACAAGATTTTTAGAAAGTAGAATTGATTTTATTGATGAGATAATATTATTCCTCAAATGTCTTCATTTTATTAAAACTAAAATTTCTTTATTTCTTTAAGCATTTATGTGTATAAATGGCTATTTATTAGTCCAGGAAATAACGAGTCTGGTGTATGCATAGATCGTGCTAGCCTGCATCCCGCTCCCGCGCAACTTATCAATGAAATTCCTGCGCCGACTCTATCGCACCAACGGTGCCTCACGTTCCTTAAACTGACGTAACAAAATGGCGGACAACATACATAAGTTATTAAATACGTGTTTCTCCTATCAAGTATAAGCAGCTATCGTTTTTAGCCCAAGGAAACATAACCATTAACGCAATTCTTAGGGAAAACCATAGTTATGTCAAGACTATATAATAACCAAACGACAATATTCTTAAAAAACAAATGTTGCATAACGAAATGTAAAAAAAATAGTACTGAATGTGTGGCAATTGTTCAAACTGTTTTTTTTTTTAGTTATGATATGGAGAAATATGTAGTACTTTTAGCCCGACTTGACATTCGCAAAGTTTCATAATGATAACTAAAATATTGATAGCATCCTTAACTACTAGAGACATCTATGAACCATATATGAAAAGTCAGATGAATGGTACAGATGGCATTACCGTTGACTATAAAACTGATATACCGCGATATTTTCAAGCTATATTAGTTAATATATCACAACAAGGATAGATGGCGCTCATTTATAATTCACTATTTTATAATGATATTTTAATTATGAATATAGTATTACAGTTTGAGCATAAGGTTACAAAAAATTTACCTACATATTTAGAATTATATTATAGGATCATAAATATAACATCGAAATATTGAACTGAAACATGTCCTTTGTGGCAGTATTGACCACTGAAAAAAAAAACAAACTTGTTCATTGGCACTAAAATAGCAGATAGATTGAAGTTTGTCATACATCAGAACACGGACAGATGGCGCTTGTTTACAATCCATTTGACTAGTTCATTTATTGCAGTGCTATTACTAATAGATATCTTATACCTATGTATGTAAATATAAGTTTTCCATTTAGGGAAAAGTTATATATTCATATCGTGACCAGATCGTAGTATTGACCAATTCATGATGCGACCGGCCATTTCATGAAATGGAAAATACTTGCTGCCGACATCATGATGTGGCCTGGCGAGATCAATAAATAATTTGCTTTTAACGATATGGGCGACTGATCGTATGACTGTTTCATGATGTGGCCAAGTATTAGTGATTATATCGTAAGTAAAATAGTTATAGGTCGAAATCGCACGTTGAGAATGACAATGTCACTTATCAAAAACGACATATTTTTTACTTTTGACAACATTTTTCTTTGTTAAGTATAAACTTTAAAATGCAAAGATCCCTGTGAACGTAGCTTGCATAGAAACTGCTAGATGGCGTAGTGACGTTACGTTCTTTAGAGGGGCTGCTTACAATTTCTTGAACTTTAAACGCTCATTACTCAAAATCGCATTTTTTGCATTGTGTCACTATCGTTCTCAACGTGCGAAATATTTTCATTTTTAAGTTATACAATAAATTAAAGAAAGTACGAACGAAGCAACGAAGAACAATTATTTGATTAAATTTGGTGAGTTAATTGCTGGCGTGCAGTGCGAAGGTGCGGCGGTCAAATCCATTCTATAGTTTTATAGATATGTGTCGCAAAATTAAGATGTAGACAGGATTTTGATTTAACTCCAGAGGATAATAAAAATATATTGGAAGTTATAAAATAATGAAAAAAAATATAATTTAAAACAATATCAACAAATTCATGTGAAACACCTATAAAGCGTAGATTATAGAAAAATCCAAAATAACTTCTAATTATATGGTAATGATGAACGGAATTAGGTGTACCGGAGACAAGTAGATCGTTTTACGCAGTATTTATGAAAAGAAAAGCCACTCTTACTGGCTCTAAAATATGCAGTACCTTAAAAATACTTTTGTTCTTTAAATATGAGTGCCAATGTTTATTTTTTGTACATGGTGAAATTTATTATTATTTTTAATTGTAATATATTAGTTGGTGAGTTTCTTGCTCGTTCTTCTTATCAGCCAAAAGACGTCCTGAACGAGTGGTAGGGAAAAAAAATGTTGGACAATTCAAAAGTACTTTTAAGAAGTCTATTTGAATAAAGATTATTTTGACTTTGACTTTGAATTATGTACAAATATATGGTATTCCAAAATATAGTTATTCAAAACCAAAGAATATAAAAAGCTACTATAAAATATATTTATATAAGAGTGCAGTTGGTGGGGAACAATAAGTCCATGTCTGCGGTATTCAAAAGTATAAAATTTTCTGACCAGCAGTAAATTCATAAGGAGTTTCTTTCGTCATTTGCAATAACACTCTTTAATCTTATTACTTTTTATGGGCGTTGCTCCAGTGTTTTTCCTTGGGCACCAAGTTCTAGTATTTCGCCTAAGGTGCTAAATTCTAGTGTTTTGTCCATATTAGGGCGGTTAGGTTCATTTAGCCGGCGCTGAGTATACCAAAACCACAAATACACATAAACTATACAGACGCCTCATCCCATAGAACAAAATGTGACCCTCCTAACTCGGGCTATTCTGAAGCTATTTTGTCTTACTTGAGTCAGCGCTAGATGCTGCAAGTGAGCAAGCAACACTTAGTGTGCCAATACTAAAGTTTTTAAATCATTGATTTCTTTTCAGCAATAACACTTAGCTCAAGCTGTTGCCAATTTCGTAATCATTCGAATTCTTAATTGTATCCCTGTTTTATAGTATAGTGTTTCATTCTCTCTCTTCGTCATACTCAAGGAACGTTTTAAGTTCCTTCACGAAGCACACTAAGTTGATGTATTTAGAAAACTCAAAACTACAGATGCCAATGCATTCCACAAAGTTTCTTGATAAATATTTCGTTTGTGGTTCAGGTTGTCTGCTTAAATCAATTTTCAAATTAAACAAAATGTGCTCCGTAATTAAAAGTATTTAAAAAATATTCTGTTTAGCTCCCCAACTGGTTCTGGTGCATACTTTATATATTCAATAATCTTTTAATAAGTAGTAAAAAGCAATGATTTTACGGAAGAAAAAAATATATTTTCGTTTCACATAAAGTCCGACGATAAAAAGATATCTTGTGAATTAGAAAAGAAGGTCATAAGCCTTACTGACTATAAGAAAAACGTAAGTATGCATAATTTGTAGTACAATGGTTTCCTTTGAAAGGCATGAAATCTTTCAACCTTCAAGGTATTTCTAAATATGAGACAAATAATAATTATTTAAAATATTTTATTAAATTTCTTAAGTTACTGGTAAATGTGTTTGGGTATGGTATGCTTACTATGGGTATTCTACGGGTATCTGACGTTGACAAAAATAACTAAACAGTATAAAAGATAAATAGTATAATTAACTAAAATCGTTCGCATTTGGCATAAGTGTTCATGTAAACAGCTTAGATATAAGAAAATGGATGTATTCTCTGAAAGCTCAGTAGGCTTATTATTTTAATACATAACTTAAGTAATAAGTAATATTTTTACTGAATCCAGCCAAACTTCATAAGCATCTCACCAGAGCTGAATGAAATCCGGCACATAGATAAAGATGGAACAAATATAATTTGGAATCTTATATAATTTATTTCATACTCAAGGTTAAAATATTAACACCATAAAAGCTTATCGTCGTAAATTCTACGCCAACGTTTAATAAACATTTTATTACCATAACAAGTTTAGCAACCGGATATAAGAAAATAAAACTTTTTTATTTTCAATTATACCTAGCACGTGTTTGAGGGATAAGAATGAAATAAGTTCATAGGCATTAATAGAATACTAATTAATAAGGAAATGAAACATCTAAAAGATCATCACACATTTAAAGAGTACCATTCATAAACAATGGAAATTATCTCCGTATGGTTAAGTTTGAACTAATTTATTGTAAAAAGACTATGAATAAACATACGCTGACGATGTAGTTCAATGCCTTAATAATGGTATACTTGTTTTTAAAGTCGACCAAAGTTTTAAAGGGTAAAAACCTCAATATAAAAAAAGACAACAATTCTGATATATTGTCACATGACTTAAGATCATGTATTTCATTGATGTAGTACATGATAGTGACTTGGTAAACTTACCTGGCGCTGTTGAAGCTGGCAGCATCGTTCTTGGAGGAGGCACCGAAGGAAACACCCACGGCGAGGCCCTCGGGGATGTTGTGCACTGTGATCGCTACCACCAGCAGCATGATACGCTTCCATTGCGACTGTCGCGCTTCCAATGCTTTCGCTATGCTGTCTCTGTGGTCAAGTTCACCGTTCTGCTTCTGAAACACATGAAAAAGGCGTTTTAAAGCTTTTTTGCACAAATAGATGATTGCATCTAATGTTTTAAATAAAAATTACGATGATGATAAGGTAAGTAAAATATGGGTTTTATTTACAATACATAATATACATAGATATAGTTCAGACACGACACCAAGGAGTATGTAAAATTCTTAAATTAAAATTTAAAAAATGCATTAAAAAGTTAAAATATCGCCAAAAATGTATTCCTCAGATTCAACAAAGTATACCTCAGACAGTCACCGAGACTATTTATGGCAACCTGGTTCAATTCAGGGACAACGGCAACAGGATCTCCCCAGCTTGGATCAAGGCCCACGGATAGGTGATGGGAGAAGAAAGAGCGGACGAGTTAGCAAGGAAGCGGCTCTTCGGTTGAAATGTCGTTTGCACCGCTGTCCCATCTCTTTTGTCCAGAAACATTTATGTTCCTTGAAAAAGGTAAAAGGGGACAAAAACGAAGTTACTGCAACCACGATAACGACTTCCAAATGGGAAAAGGGCCTTCGCCGTAGTACGAAAGATAGAGATAAAAAGGATCACAACACAGTTGCTGACCGGACATGGAGGTTTTCAGTATTACCTCCACAAATTTATGTAAGTGTAAGGGCACCGGTTGCATGTGCGATCCTCTCAGATAGCAGGACATAATTTCACGTTGTACGTGTACAGCACTATTAGACACACCACCCAGCAAAAATAACTTGGTGCGTATATGAGTTGACAGAAAAATATTCTTGAAATCTGCTAAAATAATGATGGAAAAAAAAGGAAATACATCATCTGTGAAAATTTCAACTGTCTAACTTTCACGGTTCATGAGGTACAGCGTGGTGGCAGACAGACAGTAAAGTCTTAGTAACAGGGTTCGCGTTTTTTTTATTATGAATTTAATTGAACTGTATTGTATTTGATATGTATATTTTTAATTATGTAATTCAAATGTATCACAATATGGGTTATTACCACCTGAAATAAAGATTATTTATTTATTTTTACCCTTTGGGTAAGAAACCCTAAAAACTGTGATACTAGTTTTATCGAAAAAAGCAGCCTGAATTAACCTGACTTGTGCAATCATAGACTAAATAAGTGACTTTGGTTTTTCACTAGTAACTTTAGAGATAGCAATTTGTAGTGCTAAAAATCGATTATGAGATTGTGAAGCCACTTATTCTATGAAAAATTATATGCGAAACAAATTAATTGATGACCCATTGCAAAGGAATGCTACATTTAGCGCATCTTCTAAGACTATAAGTTCTTAAACTATGGTAATATTGTCATCAGAACGAAAGATGTGTATCAAATTTCAGGTCAATCGATTAACTTGAAAAAAGGAAAAATTTTAATGATTAGATTTGCCCCACCAAAGTCGTCGTAAATAAAACCGTTCAAAAATTAGATTTGCTTCACGCCTGGACTGTCCAAGATATAAAATCTATAAAATTTCTTGGTAGTTTTTGACAACCTTACCACGACACAACAGTTCAGATCATATAACCTTACCAAGAACATGTTTTGTAGAACTTATTTATTTATCAAACAAGAAAAGCTTTTGTATCAACAAGGGATATGTCGGTAAGTTAATAATGTGTGTAGTAGTTCATTTCGTAGTATCACCTATGAGTATAGTGTTAATAAAAAGTATTGTTATAATTGCGAGATCTCTTGAAAATCTAATTTCCACGGAAAATTAGAGCCGGATTCTCTGAGTCACTACTAGTCTTTTCCTTATTAATGTCATTATTTTTTCTCATAGAGCATATAATATATCACTTAATTTTGCATTCGTTTTGAATACCGTTGTGCACTTTACAATTAAGAAGAGCGCTGCCCGTAACAGCAAACGTTGAGCTACAATTAAGAGTATAATAGGCGAAAAATTAAATTTCACGCATTGAAGAAAACGAGATATATTGAATGATATTCACATACTTAAAGGTGTACACAAATTATGTAAAAGTTACAAAGCTTTTGTTATATAACATTTCCAAATTATTCAACAGTGTAATTATATAATTAATAAAAGAACAAGACTGCGTTTGTAATACAGCAGTATTTGCCACAATATTAACACAAGATAATTTTTGCTAGCTGTGGCAACCGTTGTAGTTTTAAATAAGAACAGAAAATGTAGATGTTGTGTTATCCAATTTAAAGACTAGAGAAAAATATAACATATAAATAACTTTGTTATATGACACAAGGCGTTCATACTAATAAAACATTTATTTAGTTATCATATTTGATCAATTTTGCATTCCCAATGCAATTCCGTCCGGATTGCAATAGGTCGTGGGTTCGAATCCCACACCACGGGGTAACTCGAGGTGGTGGGGTTTTTAAGCATTTTTTATATATATATTACACCTTAAATATATACATATATAGATACAAACATAAAAATGGCATGATGACACTATTAAATACTTATATTTATACATAGTCATGAGGGTATTATCTTTATAAATAAAATTGAATCTCCAAAATAACTTAGCAAATAACTTTAGAACGATTGCCCTAAATTAGATTTTTCCTTGTTGTTTGTTATTATCAGAAACAAGGTTTGTTCATATTATTTTCTATTACGTACGCCACTGGGGCAGCTAGATATAAATATGTAATAGAGATGAATTACCAAAGAGATTTGCGAATTATGGTGCCCTCTCCGCCGTTGCGCGGTATGTTGATTACTGATGCAGTCTGCGAAGTCTGTGGCTGGTGGCTGATCGACCGTTACCACGCTTGTCGACGGCCGCCTGTTCAGCGCTGTCATCATCTCCAAATCCTCCATCTTCTCCTTCGATTCTTTGGTTTTTGTTATACCTATAAATTTAAAGATTTTTTTGTTAAAAACTGGGGAATATTAGGTCTTTTGTTTCCTTTAAAGGATTTATTTTGAATTGGTATAAACTAATTTATTATTCTCTAGTCCTTACAAAGCGCCGAATATAAAGAACGGAATGTCGTTTTTAAAAATATCAAATTATGAAATTATTTGGTTGCGTTACTAGTAAAAAAGAAAAAGAAATATGTTTATTGGCATGTTATTGATTTTTTACTTCCGGGTTAAAAAGGTGGGGAAAATACGTGAATATGATTTACCGTAATGAACTAACTATTAAATTTTGTGTACTAATTATAATTAATTGACTTCTAAGCATGAACCTAGACAAATCAAAGAGTACGCTACGAAAGGAATTCCCACAATGTTAGTTAGCTCATGTAATACGTACATAAAATAAACTTTAATCGCATCAAATACTAACATCGATCGCACAAGGTTATCTTAAGGTTGGATATAGGTCAAACGCAAGACTGTTTGGTTGCAAAGTGCATGTCGATGTTCGCTCGATAAATGTTCCACACATTATGACCGAATGAGATATTTATATGCAGGTATTATAAAGAAGTCACAATCAAAATTTGTTTTTTCCAACACCCAATCGGAAAGTTCATTCAAATCAAGCGACGGTTTATTAATAGAGATGAAAGCCGATCATTAATCCTGCATATTTTTATTAATTTTGTATGACAGTCCATTATTGCACTGTTTGCAGTAGTATCTATTCGCTGTTAAAACAGTGAATAAATTATTTTCATACTATAGGGTTTCATACAAAAAAAGGGAAAAACGGACTCTATAGGATCACTCGGTTGTCTGTCGGCTGTTCATTTTTCTCAGAGGCCCAAAGACGGTCGTAAAACCTAAATAAGTAATAATATCGTACTTTTGATTAAAGAAAGAGTAATATTACTTTTTTTTGTTAAAACCAACCCGGGCACACACCTTCCTTTTGTAAGTATTTTAGTTTTTTCTTCAAACGGCAACGAAAATGTTGAACCAGCACAGAGCATAAGGGGGAGCTCACAGCTATAATTTTCCATAATTCATGGTAAATAGTGATTACTACGTGATTTAGTGATTAACGAATTGCAACTTAATCAACCGTGCTCAGAAAAATAATCAAAACAAAATGACGAAAAAAATTGTTTTTACGGATATACCGGCCAAATATCAACTCAAAATCATTTATTCTGTCTAGGCTTTTGATAAATTAAACCGACTTCGAAAAATCTTAATAGAGAGAAACGGCTGAAAGGAGAGAAATTATACTATAAATTTTGATCTACAATAAAATCGAAACGCAAAAATTGGATGCACCAAAATATCGGGAACTCGTAAAATATAAGGTTCATGGTAGTTTCCCGTTTTTAGCAACTACTCATCCCTTCTTATTTTTGTTGACCCAGGGAAAATGCGTTACGCACTATTTCTGCCGCCTGACGTGACGGCAGAGGGGTGTGGGACTCTCCCCTGTGAGGGCGGGAGCTTACCAACTAAAAACTTGGGCATGATTGGTATCATCCATTATGAATACCTCTGCTTTAGCACTACTACATGGACGGCACATAAGTTATTGTCGTCAAGAAACCGGTACAATGTATGAATGACTTAGTACTGCGACTACGGCGCGTTGTAACGTAACGCCACATGTCCATGTCCAAGGGGGAATTTTTGAAAAAGGCAGAGATTAAAACTACTCGCTCGATTATTATGAAACAAAAACAGATGTATTTCTAAATGTGAAGACTACACGGACACATATTAAACGATTTGACAGAGCTATTGATATTCCTCATAGTCGATGGGTCTTTTAATGTTAAACTCAATGCTGTTTTTCGTATATTCCACAAGAGTAAAATTCACATTTCACAATTTGTACGTACGTTACATTACGTAGTACATACATCGTATATAACGAGGATTAAAGTTAGTACTTTAATAAATTTTAATTTATATTAATAAATTGATAATTATAGAATTGAAATTGAGAAGTGTTACTTTGATCGCGTAGTGATTTAAACCAGACACTTATATTTTTACGCTTCTTGTCTGGTAGCAAAGTAAGACCGTTTTATAGTAAAACGGGTATAGTTTAAGTATACTCTGTAAACACGTTAAATAATCAATGCCTTGCTTCTCATGGTGAGTAAATAGCTTTGACTACAAATTTGTCTCTTAAACAATCATTATCCATTTTATCCGTAGCCAAATAACACGTTATTTTAACTGAGTAAATAGGTAACTGAATGACTGTCTGGCTGTATAACGTCATTTATACACTGACGCATTTTTATAACTGCAATCTGTATTTTTAATAATATTGTGAACACAATTTAGTACTTCTTTTATTATACTGTATTGCTTCCATTATGTAGGTAACTGCGAAAGATTATCGCTATAACCTATACTATATTTCCACCTGTGACTTCTACTTATTTACTTTTATTTATTTTAATAAATACTAATATCACCTAATATTATAAGCTTTGTTTGTTTGCAAGAGGTTATTTTCGGAAATACTAATCATACTTACGACAGGTGATATAGGCCATAATTTACCAAAAAGTCTACTTTATTATATTTTCACGGCATAAGATTTTTTCTACAGCGCAGAAAATGTCATAATTAGACAAATCAAAAAATTTCAAAATTTTTAGGTTATTCCTTTTCGGGTAGTTGAACAACTTGACTGTCACCAGCATTTCATGCTAAATGTCAATACTTTTAACTAATAATAGATTTAATCAATATATATTAAATACTTAATAGATTAAATCAAGATATCATGAGTTTAATAATCAAATATATAATTGCAAGAATTTTTTTTTTCTGTGGATAAAGTAAAAACAGATAAGCGTTATTTGTTTTCGTATTTCTATCCTATTTTTTTATTATGAAACTGGCTGCATGACACAGAGTAGATTTCCAAGACTTTGTTGAGCGAAAGGATAATACACCACCAACGGGAGTTCAAATCTCATATTACTTAATTATGATGATAATGCAATCAACTGTCATGCGAATGGTAAGCAACTTTCGCAAAAGAAGGTTATTGATTAGGCGACAAAAAAAAGGAGGTCACACGTGTTACGATATATAAATAAAGCCTTTGCACTAATCAATCAGGACACAAACGTGATGACATATGGAGCGGTCTCCTTTATACTTAAGTACTATTGTCTAGCTAATTCCCTAGAAGTCATTCATACAATAGCCATAAGAAGAAACATAGATAAAAAAGAGCCGATTTAGGATTATAATAGAAGTTTACACAAATAGTGTCCATTTGAATTTTCATATATATTTCATAAACCAAATATGGAATTAAATGTTACTGTTATGTATATATTCAATATTAGAAACATGGTTTAAGATAGCAAAAAACATTTTAGAGCATTTTAAAGTTGCTGAAATATTCGTTTATAAGATCATGGGCTTCTCATAACCAATATCAACTATGGCGAGCTATCCTCCCCAAGGTAATATCATCTAATAAGCCTCCTACGTCTGACAGCATAACGCGGTAGGAGTAATCACAGCGTTTAAGTGTAACACAGCATTGATTTATATACTCACTGCCAATAATGGCTTAGAAAATAAATAATTATTCAAATATTTTTTTGGAAATAAACTATTATTACCTTACATTATTTACAAATAATGAGCAAAACTCATTAAAAAACTTTTAATCTTAATTACATAAAAATACGGAATTTTCAACTACCTACAACCATTTGAACTCTTACAGTATTTTGACCACTGGAGTGCTAAAAAGCTATCTATAACTAAAGTACCGACAGTGACTCATCAAGGTAAGGACAGAAGAATGTAATTTATAAAAATAATTATAAATTGTATCAATTAACATGAAATGTCTAATAAGGATTCCGTTAAACTTAAACGCTGAAACATTTTGCTTTATCTCGCTAATGATAGACACTTCCATAGTGAGTCTAACGAAACCTTAACTATTTAACATATTAAGATATTCAGTATTTAATCCCAAAAACAAACTCATCATTTCGATTAATAATATAAGAGGATACTCAAAATTAAGTTGGAGTTTAAACTTTCGTGCGATTTATTTAGTTTAAATATTAAAACTTATTTAAATAATCATATCAATAATTAATTTAGAATATATTTGATTTAGTTTTAGTCGTTTTATTGATAAGTAATTTAGCTTTAAGAAGTCCTTCGTCGTATAGACGAAGCTAACGGTCAATGTTGAATCTTTAGCAAATATAATAAGCAAAGATAACGTAAAATATAAGCTTATTTAGATAAGATAACTTTAAAGGCAAACATTATTATTCTATAGTACGGTACTATATAAGGATATAAGTACATATATCTAGTTGTATAATTACGTATCGTGCATGTATGTGACTACGATAGTTGATCCCCAACTATATAGTAATTAAGATTATCAGTAAGAAAGATTGTTCGTCTGCTTTAATTAAATAATTATGTGTAGACTACTGTTTTATATTTTTTTCAACAGCTTATGATGATACCAGAAGTAAATAAGGAGTAGGTAATATGTTAATAAATATTATTACCTATATTTATGAGGCTCTATTTTATTAGGCACGAAGCACGATCTTTTTTAAACAGTGACTAAAACCATAACCGAAACAGCGTTGCTTAAGAATATTACAAATAACATATTTTGACATTAGATTTCAGCAAGGAAAATTTAAACTTATGATTGTTATAAGACACCCATATAAAATCAAATAGAAATGGTATTTATACGGCATATATAATATTATTGAGAAAATGGCATTCTGTCAGATCTGAATTTACCAAGTTTTATTTAATTTATTTTCTTTAAACTGCAGACTGTTACGAAAATGCAATTATTTGGGTTTTTCTCCTTTTTCGGAAATAACCTCTTAATTTCCCATTCTTTACTGTACTATAAATGTATTTAACAAAAGACCCGTCATACACATTTTTAGGGTCTCGTACTAAAATTCAGAGCAAAGAAATAAAGGACAGATCCCTTACCAGATCACTCGTTTTCCGTCCGTCTGTCACAGATTTGATACTGATATGTATATTGAAAATCCAAAGGGCGTTTGTGTATTACACAGTATTTCTCTGTCCGGCAAACCGATAGGGCTTGGCTTATGCACTGTTCCGCTTTTACTCGGATCGGTGCAGTTTAGGACAGCTCTCTTTGAAATTACACTCACGCGTAATTACGCTAAAAATGATTTTCTTGGAACATCGGCAGTTACTTGCTATATTAGTCTACGTACGAAGACGTAGAAGACGAAAAGATTTTGGGTTCACCCGCTTATAACTATAATAGGTATTTTTTACCTACCAAACAGGTTCATTTTACAATTACATAAATCGCAATATTTTGTGACAGGAAGAAAGATTTTTAGCTGCAATCGGATGTTTTAATTTACTTATATTTTTTGCTATACCGCTTAAACGCGTGGATCAAGCAAGATACAAAATTAAGGCTGTATAAATATAAAAACGTTTCATTGTAGTCATCACGGACCCCAAAAAAAGAAAAACTTTTTCCGGAAGGAAAAAGAAAAAAAATCTTTTATGGTAGTGTGCAAACGCCCAAAAACAGCCGTATAACGTAAAGATATCAATTTGTGACCTGAATACTTTTGTGGACGAGTTAAAACTAAAAGTTTTACCAACTATATTATTTGACATATCAAACAAAAAGGACTTAGATATTGTGAGGATCTCGAATGTATTTTTAAATTAATTATGAACATTTAACACAAAACTTGTGCGGAACCCTCTCAGCACATGTTTGATTCGCTTTTGCTCATAGTTACTTGATGGAAAAAATATAATATGGGTACTTAGTGAAAGGGATGAGAAACAAAATATGAGCAAATAATAAAATTACTATTTGATATAAAAAAATGAGCTTTTGTTTAAATGTGCAAATAACTATAAAAAGAAAAAGGATTTAAATAAGATCACAGTATGATGAGTAATATATCAACACTAGGATAAAGGCAAAAATAGATAAATTACAAGTATTTAATTTTAAGTTTAATCCAGTCTTGAAGAGCGATAACATCCTGATACAGGTATTCTATATACTTACTAGGGATGTTATCAGAAACAGATGTCCACATTAAAGCAGTGTACATATGTGGGCAGTGGATGTGACAGTGGTGAATAAAATTTTTTGATTTAATTTCAAATGACTTATAAAAGTAATTGTAGCACCATGATTATGAATTAAAGATATATTGATTGAAATAAATTACCTATAATAAATAGATCAATACTGGTCAAGGGTAAATTAGATAGTAAACACATAATTTCCCAACTATCAATGCAAATTACATAAACAACATCCACATGAATGATTATGCTACACAACTTTCTATAATTATACTTGTTAATAGTATAGAATAATCTTTTCCCTAACCACCAAACTTTTTGATGTTTTATAGAGGGGTATGGGGTAAATGTGTTATTGAAATTTTAATCAAACACTCAATCTTCTGTTAAACAGCAAAACGTGGTACGAGATTTACTAAGCCTAACAAGACTTTGATAAAATTACAATGCAGAATAAAATAAAAATTTTTGTTTTGTTAATGATATCATAACATAGTTTATGAATAATGAACTAAAATAATAATTTTTTAAAAGTTTAATTTCATCCAAATGCAGATTTGTGTGTGAAATCCAAAGGCTGTAAAGTACAAGTCAGACTCATGCACAATCAGTCAATGAGATACAGCCTGGTGACAGACAGGTAAATAGACAGCAAAGTTTAAGTAATGGGATTCCATTTATTATTATATTTTATTAAATTACTCATTTAATGGAAATCCTATGAAACAAAGGATAGCCGTCACAGATAAAGCATGAACACAATCCATATATTCGATCAATCCATTATTCAAAAAGGGCTCTTGAATGTTATGGCTTTAATAGGTTTGCGTTATAATAAATATGTATATAAAATTTTAATACTACAATTAAAAACTATGGAAAATAGTGATATATTTTATTTCCTACAACTGCTAATAGTTTTCTGAATTAATTAGAATATGTTGATGTGATAAAAGAAACAATCATATTCCACCCTCAGAAGTTTTGTTGCTGTTTATTGTGAAACTTCTATCATTTAATAGTTATGAATGTTTTTCTAATAAGGAGATAGATTACTTAACAGAAAAAATATGCATAATGTATATCAACAACAGTTAAAATAGTTTTTAGTTTCATTAAAATAAATTAAAATGCAGACTTACTCATCATCATGTTAGTGGAGTTGATTCCTAGATAGTCCAAGAACCTGTCTGTTCCAAACACAAAAACTGCTCCAAATAGGAATCCTGCAGCTATAGGCACAAATGCAAATTGACCATTTGCGCCATATAAATCAGATTTTTCACACATCTCTATTGCTGGTTTCAATAGAGACCAATAAGAAGCCGCAGTCATGACACCAGCAGCAAATCCCAATGATACATCTAACAATTTTCTCTGTAACAAAAACGGTAACTAGTTTCTAAATTTTACTTTAGAAAAAGCTTTTAAAGTTATGTGATAATTATGAAATACGAACATGTTTGCCTCGTATAAAGAATACACAACCGGCTCCAGCCGCGGTCAATCCCCACGTCAGTAAGGTCCCTAGAAGGGCCTGTGTTACAGCACCATATCCCGATATCATTTTTATTCACTTATTTCTATAATTTATATACAAACTCCACTTGTATTTACAAAGAGCATATTTTAATGCAACTTTAGTCGAAGTAAATCAGATATTAGACATCGCTATCTTTATATACACCGCACATGTTTATCGTTCATACAAATTCGCCGATTCGCTCGCTGGCTGATGACCTTGCTTGTAATAGGGATGCGACCTGAGGTAAAAATATCGATTCCTTACACCAATAAAAAAAATATATAATCGATTCCTTGATATACAGCGTGTTTGGTAATATCTGTATAATCCCGAATATGGCACATACGGTATGATATATATATAATAGAACCCAGAAAAATGATCACTAAGTCTGAAACCCAGCACATGACCTAGATATTTAGCTTTTTTCTTCGAAGTAAAACTGTACGCTGACGACCCTAAAAACAGCTGTTGTGTTGTATTTGGTCATCGACTCCATGTGCCGAACTAGTTTAAAAAATAGCAGAAGTTAAATAAATCTAAAGCTAAATGCCTAGAATAAATATGCATCCGAGAGTAATTTATTATTTCAAAACAAAGAAAAAGTTAGTAGTAAATGACTTTTAACCATAAAAGTACAACAATCTTGTGATTACCGGTGTTACAAAAACTATTATTAAGAAAACTTCTCTAATAATACAGTCAAAATAAAAAAGAAATTGCAAATACTTTGATTGAAGCTAGATATCTGCACTATTGCTCACATTAGTCTATGCAAGAAGGAACGACAGAGACATAAAATCGACGACGATGTGTATTGAGAAACTCGGGTTTCTGATGTGTCAGTAAGGTTCTGTAGATTAATTGCTTTGAAGTTTTGTTATTTTTTTCATAAAGCAGTGTTATTTTCACGAAACAATAAAATACGGACTTATACAATGATATTAATAATCTAAATATCTCGCTTATTCTTAGTTTAAATAATAATTAAATAAAGGTTAGTTGTAATGGAAAGGTCTAATAATAAATAATATTTCTTTTCTTTTCTAATTTAATCAATAATTTTTATGCCTTATAATTTTGTTAATGACTTGGTCTTAACTTGTTCTTGGTTGGTTTTTTTCTTTTGTAACCGTGAAAAGCGTAAATAAAATTGTAATAATAAGGAAACAGCCTAATTATCAATTTCGTCACTAAAAAAAATAGTATAATAAGTTTCATTGAAATTTCATTGTTTGATTAAATAATAAAATAACGATTTTTTGTTAGGTAGGTTACCTAACACAGAATTTGATGACGCGGAACCCTAAATCGGTGCACTTTTGATTTAGGTACCTACATTGGTGTTCGAGTTGTAATAATTACCTATGTAGTTTTGGTCATCGCTTCAGTCGCGTCGGAGACTTTCATCGGTGTACTTGTGAGTTTTCAGAATTTAGAAGGTTAGAAGGGTAGCTCGGTGGCGTAGTGCATAAGCACCGCGGCCCGCGATCGTAGTCGTTAAGCAACTTTCGCAAGGGTCATTCACGGGATGGGTGACCAAAAAAAATTATTATCTCGAGCTACTCCGTGCTTCGGAAGGCACGTTAAGCCGTTGGTCCCGGCTGCATTTGCAGTCGTTAATACCCTCCAATCCGCATTGGGCCAGCGTGGAGGGTCATGGCCCATCCTCCTTAACCATCCATAAGGAAGGCCTGAGCCCCTGCAGTGGGGACGTAAAAGGGCTGGTAAAGATAAAGATAAAGAAGGTCAACTTACGTTTTCGTTCTTTCGGGACTTTTGGTTTGTTTTTCATACTCGTTCTGTTTACCTGTGTGTTGTGTTTGTGTGCGGTCAGTGCAATGAGTTCGTACTCAAATGCCTAATATTACGAGATGATATTGTGTGTTGGTGCTTGTGACGGTAATTTTGCTGCGGCTCGGCGGCTTTATGGCGAGCGCCACGTGTCAGGGAGATATGAAAACCCTCGACGTCTTCCTTCTTAACAGTGCTTCGCGGCACTTGTGAATCGTATACATACAATTGGTTCATTCCATAGTGTGATACAGGAAGGCCGGCCGAACACCTATTCCATCGAGAGAGGATATGATTTTACGTCGAGAGTAACACGGTCTGTGTCGAATCGAATGGAGATGTGTGTTTTATGCGGTGGCCGGCATATCGAGACCTTGGACTGATAAAGTGGAGGTGAAGTGTAGGTTATGTTGACAAGTGAGAGCTGAGAGAGTGATTAGAATGCTGCCTCTAGGTATGTACCTGTTTAATCTTAAATTGTTTTAATTACAAGTAAACTCATACGCAGTCAAGTACGCGCGTCGGCGAAATCAAAGTGTATTCTAGGAAACGAGAGAGAGTGAGACGTAATGTGTGTGTGAGAGAGATAAAGAGAGAGAGAGAGTGAGTACGCCGGGACGGCACGTATAAGCTTTCAGGGTTGTAGAATATTAATTGAAAACAAATTGTTCAAATATTTGTATGAAAATCTCAATTTACGTGAAATTGTTTTTTGACATATTAATTATGTTCTTTGTGCTAAGTTGTATGGCCATGTTTCGGGATTATACATGTATTACCAAACACGCTGTATATTTTTTGATTCAGATAATAAACCCCAGAACATTCATAATTGATATTTTTTAAGATATGTCGAATAACAACCATGAAATTATTTAGAATTACTTGAATATCAACGTGTACTAGCGAAACATATTTACTTTTCTATGTATAATGGATTCATATTTAGTTTAGTGATCTTTTTGTTTGGTTCATAGCACAATTTTAGGAGAAAAGATGACACGAAAGTGAGTAATGGCATAATTCATAGCAGGAATAGTGCTCTTTGAATTGCGTCACCTTTTGTACATTCTTGCAATTTTCGCTGGTGATACGTGATTACAAAGAAGTATTAATTTATACATTGAACACTAACATTTCATGAAAACAGACAATAACTTTAATTTATATGATAGAATATTTTAGGGGGTATCGCATATAATCCCGATGAGTTTTGAAAATATTAACTCTAAAAGATCGCTATTTGAAAAATAAAGTTGTATTATTTTGATAATCGATAATAAATAGAATCGACATCCCTAGCCTTAACCAAAGACAAACTGAAATATGTGCACGTCAAACAAAATGTCAAACGATTTAGCGGTCGTTTATAAAGGCAACGTATTCTAGCCCAAACAGCCATGTAAAACCATGTAAGTTTATAAGCAGTTTATAACCAGGCAAATAATAGATAATTTTTCTATTATTTAGAAAATTTTCGTTATAAGTAGGCAAATAATAGATATTTTTTCTATTATTTGCCTACTTATAACGAAAATTTTCTTCCGAAAACCGACATATAGATATATGGAGTGGAAATGGAAGTTTGTATGGGGAATCAAAACATTACCATTACGAACTTTGTTTACTATTCTTTTTTATTGTAATACAAAGACTTCTTTGTAAGTTTTTGTGATATAAGTACCACGATATGATATTAAACCTTAACCAAATCAATTACCGAAGTATATAATTCGTTGTCACAAATATTGCAAGCAGTATGTTGGAACTTGGATAGGTATACAAATATTATAATTAAGTACATAGCTGTTGCCGCAGAGTGTGGCATAATACCGTCTTTATAGGTGATCGTCGTTACGTGTAGGATAATGAAGGGAATAGCAGAGCAGGAGGGATGAAAATATATGAAATTTCAGGATAGCAGCAGCAAGAAATAAGGTAAAGTAAACATATAATGTACTGTTTTTGTATTTTTTAACAAGTAATGGGCCTCAAATTAATATTTTCTTTGCCAATTGTGAACAAAGAATAGATCCTACACTTAAATATATCGTAGATGATTTTATTGCGACAAGTGATACTAATATTTCCACTTTGTGTACATACTTAGGTGATAACTATTTTAATAATTATGATAAAGTTTTTGTGACCGAGATTGGCTCGCAGGCATGCGCTGGTTTTAAGGCGTCGCCATATTTAATGCCCCGGATTCGATTCCATAACGGTTCAATATAAAATGGACATTTCTATATTGTGCAGGACTGGATGTCGTTATATCATTAAATTTGTGTTTTTGCTATTTAATTTAGGATCTGATTAATGTTAGTGATAGGTATTATTTAATATCACAAATATTAATTTCAATTTTTCACTTACGGTCAATATCAGATAACAGCACGTTAGGACATACAAAGCCCTTAAATTACTCTTTATAATTCTGAATCTAAATACATTTACGGTGAAGTTCATAATAAACTAAGGAATTTGACATACATATTTTCTATTTTTGTAGGTATAGCATAATAACGTTTGTCTTATCGTCTTTCTGTGATCCTAACTATAGATGACCGTCGAGTCTGAATAAGGTCATCAAACAAGTATTAAAATACTTTAATTTCCTTATTTTCGTTTGTTTGTTGTCTGTTCACGGATATTTTTACAATTTTTTATTAAGGAGCGGTTTGAAATATTTAGATACTTTAATTTTATTAGATTATTACAAAATATCTTTATTCAAGTAGGCTATTACAAGCACTTTTGAATCGTCCAAAAAACTTTTTTCCCCTACCACTTGTTCAGGACGTCTTTTAGCTGACAAGAAGAACAAGCGAAAGAAACTTATCAGCTTTTTATCATAAGTAATGACATTTACATAAATCATGTCATTACCAAAATAATATGTATTATCAATTTATCACAATAGTAAATACAACTTTCAAAGTCTGTAGGACATAAGTTGAACATATAATTAGTCTTTATAGAACAAAGCGAAGGCTATTAATTCCATGCATTGCGATCCTTAAAATAATCATCAACTTTATAATAGCCTTTACTCACAAGTATATTCTTTACATGAATTTGAAATTTATTTATGGGTAGGTCAATTACATTTTGTGGAACTTTATTGAACATAGCAATACATTTACCCAGAAATGATCCTCTGGTTTTTTGAAGTCTGAAGCTTGGAACGGCAAGTTTATCTTTATTTCTTGTGTTAAGATTATGAACACTACTTTTTTTTGTGAAGGAATCGTAATGTTTTCTTGTATACATAATATTCTCATAGATGTATTGAGAGGCAACAGTCAGAATATTTATTTCTTTA